GCTCCTCTGCTCCTCTCCTCCTCTGCTCCTCTCCTCCTCTGCTCCTCTCCTCCTCTGCTCCTCTGCTCCTCTGCTCCTCTGCTCCTCTCCTCCTCTGCTCCTCTGCTCCTCTGCTCCTCTCCTCCTCTCCTCCTCTCCTCCTCTGCTCCTTTACTCCTCTGCTCCTCTGCTCCTTTACTCCTCTGCTCCTCTCCTCCTCTCCTCCTCTCCTCCTCTGCTCCTCTCCTCCTCTGCTCCTCTGCTCCTCTCCTCCTCTGCTCCTTTACTCCTCTGCTCCTCTGCTCCTCTCCTCCTCTGCTCCTCTCCTCCTCTGCTCCTCTCCTCCTCTGCTCCTCTCCTCCTCTCCTCCTCTGCTCCTCTCCTCCTCTCCTCCTCTGCTCCTTTACTCCTCTGCTCCTCTGCTCCTCTCCTCCTCTGCTCCTCTCCTCCTCTCCTCCTCTCCTCCTCTGCTCCTCTGCTCCTCTGCTCCTCTGCTCCTCTCCTCCTCTGCTCCTCTCCTCCTCTCCTCCTCTGCTCCTTTACTCCTCTGCTCCTCTGCTCCTCTCCTCCTCTCCTCCTCTCCTCCTCTGCTCCTTTACTCCTCTGCTCCTCTCCTCCTCTCCTCCTCTCCTCCTCTGCTCCTTTACTCCTCTGCTCCTCTGCTCCTCTCCTCCTCTCCTCCTCTCCTCCTCTCCTCCTCTGCTCCTCTCCTCCTCTGCTCCTCTCCTCCTCTCCTCCTCTGCTCCTTTACTCCTCTGCTCCTCTGCTCCTCTCCTCCTCTCCTCCTCTCCTCCTCTCCTCCTCTGCTCCTTTACTCCTCTGCTCCTCTCCTCCTCTCCTCCTCTGCTCCTCTGCTCCTCTGCTCCTCTCCTCCTCTGCTCCTCTGCTCCTCTGCTCCTCTGCTCCTCTCCTCCTCTGCTCCTCTCCTCCTCTCCTCCTCTGCTCCTTTACTCCTCTGCTCCTCTGCTCCTCTCCTCCTCTGCTCCTCTGCTCCTCTCCTCCTCTGCTCCTCTCCTCCTCTGCTCCTCTCCTCCTCTGCTCCTCTCCTCCTCTCCTCCTCTGCTCCTCTGCTCCTCTCCTCCTCTGCTCCTCTCCTCCTCTCCTCCTCTGCTCCTTTACTCCTCTGCTCCTCTGCTCCTCTGCTCCTCTGCTCCTCTGCTCCTCTCCTCCTCTGCTCCTCTCCTCCTCTGCTCCTCTCCTACTCTCCTCCTCTGCTCCTCTGCTCCTCTGCTCCTCTCCTCCTCTGCTCCTCTCCTCCTCTCCTCCTCTGCTCCTTTACTCCTCTGCTCCTCTGCTCCTTTACTCCTCTGCTCCTCTCCTCCTCTCCTCCTCTCCTCCTCTGCTCCTTTACTCCTCTGCTCCTCTCCTCCTCTCCTCCTCTCCTCCTCTCCTCCTCTGCTCCTCTCCTCCTCTGCTCCTCTGCTCCTCTGCTCCTCTGCTCCTCTGCTCCTTTACTCCTCTGCTCCTCTGCTCCTCTCCTCCTCTCCTCCTCTCCTCCTCTGCTCCTCTCCTACTCTCCTCCTCTGCTCCTCTCCTCCTCTCCTCCTCTCCTCCTCTCCTCCTCTGCTCCTCTCCTCCTCTGCTCCTCTCCTCCTCTCCTCCTCTGCTCCTCTGCTCCTCTGCTCCTCTGCTCCTCTGCTCCTTTACTCCTCTGCTCCTCTCCTCCTCTCCTCCTCTCCTCCTCTCCTCCTCTGCTCCTCTCCTACTCTCCTCCTCTGCTCCTCTGCTCCTCTGCTCCTCTCCTCCTCTGCTCCTCTCCTCCTCTCCTCCTCTGCTCCTTTACTCCTCTGCTCCTCTGCTCCTTTACTCCTCTGCTCCTCTCCTCCTCTCCTCCTCTCCTCCTCTCCTCCTCTGCTCCTCTCCTCCTCTGCTCCTCTGCTCCTCTCCTCCTCTCCTCCTCTGCTCCTCTGCTCCTCTGCTCCTCTCCTCCTCTGCTCCTCTCCTCCTCTCCTCCTCTGCTCCTTTACTCCTCTGCTCCTCTGCTCCTCTCCTCCTCTGCTCCTCTGCCTCCTCTCCTCCTCTGCTCCTCTCCTCCTCTGCTCCTCTCCTCCTCTGCTCCTCTGCCTCCTCTCCTCCTCTGCTCCTCTGCTCCTCTGCTCCTCTCCTCCTCTGCTCCTCTGCTCCTCTGCTCCTCTCCTCCTCTGCTCCTCTGCTCCTCTCCTCCTCTGCTCCTCTCTCTCTCCTCTCCTCCTCTGCTCCTCTGCTCCTCTCCTCCTCTGCTCCTCTCCTCCTCTGCTCCTCTGCTCCTCTCCTCCTCTGCTCCTCTCCTCCTCTGCTCCTTACTCCTCTCCTCCTCTCCTCCTCTCTCCTCTGCTCTCTCCTCCTCTCCTCCTCTCTCCTCTGCTCTCTCCTCCTCTCTCCTCTACCCTCTCCTCCTCTCTCCTCTGCTCTCTCCTCTGCTCTCTCCTCCTCTCTCCTCTGCTCTCCTCCTCTCTCCTCTACCCTCTGCTCTCTCCTCCTCTCTCCTCTGCTCTCTCCTCCTCTGCTCTCTCCTCCTCTCTCCTCTGCTCTCTCCTCCTCTCTCCTCTGCTCCTCTGCTCCTCTCCTCCTCTGCTCCTCTCCTCCTCTCCTCCTCTGCTCCTCTCCTCCTCTGCTCCTCTGCTCCTTTACTCCTCTGCTCCTCTCCTCCTCTCCTCCTCTGCTCCTCTCCTCCTCTGCTCCTCTGCTCCTCTCCTCCTCTGCTCCTCTCCTCCTCTGCTCCTCTCCTCCTCTCCTCCTCTGCTCCTCTCCTCCTCTGCTCCTCTCCTCCTCTGCTCCTCTGCTCCTCTCCTCCTCTCCTCCTCTGCTCCTCTTACTCCTCTGCTCCTCTGCTCCTCTCCTCCTCTGCTCCTCTGCTCCTCTCCTCCTCTGCTCCTCTTCCTCCTCTGCTCCTCTGCTCCTCTCCTCCTCTGCTCCTCTGCTCCTCTGCTCCTCTCCTCCTCTGCCTCCTCTGCTCCTCTGCTCCTCTGCTCCTCTCCCTCCTCTGCTCTTCTCTCTGCTCCTCTGCTCGCTCCTCTCTGCTCCTCTGCTCCTCTCCTCCTCTGCTCCTCTCCTCCTCTGCCTCCTCTCCTCCTCTTCTCCTCTGCTCCTTCTCCTCTGCTCCTCTGCTCCTCTCTCTCCTCTGCTCCTCTGCCTCCTCTCCTCCTCTGCTCCTCTGCCTCCTCTGCTCCTCTCCTCCTCTCCTCCTCTGCTCCTCTCCTCCTCTCCTCCTCTGCTCCTTTACTCCTCTGCTCCTCTGCTCCTTTACTCCTCTGCTCCTCTGCCTCCTCTCCTCCTCTCCTCCTCTGCTCCTCTCCTCCTCTCCTCCTCTGCTCCTCTGCTCCTCTGCTCCTCTCCTCCTCTGCCTCCTCTGCCTCCTCTCCTCCTCTGCTCCTCTGCCTCCTCTCCTCCTCTGCTCCTCTCCTCCTCTGCTCCTCTCCTCCTCTGCTCCTCTGCCTCCTCTCCTCCTCTGCTCCTTCTCTCTGCTCCTCTGCTCCTTACTCCTCTGCTCCTCTCCTCCTCTCCTCCTCTGCCTCCTCTCCTCCTCTGCTCCTCTCCTCCTCTGCTCCTCTGCTCCTCTCCTCCTCTCCTCCTCTGCTCCTCTCTCCTCTGCTCCTCTCCTCCTCTGCTCCTCTGCTCCTCTCCTCCTCTGCTCCTTACTCCTCTGCTCCTCTGCTCCTCTCCTCCTCTGCTCCTCTGCTCCTCTCCTCCTCTGCTCCTCTCCTCCTCTGCTCCTCTGCTCCTCTCTCCTCTGCTCCTCTGCTCCTCTCCTCCTCTGCTCCTCTGCTCCTCTCCTCCTCTGCTCCTCTGCTCCTCTGCTCCTCTGCTCCTCTCCTCCTCTGCTCCTCTGCTCCTCTGCTCCTCTCCTCCTCTGCTCCTCTGCTCCTCTCCTCCTCTGCTCCTCTTCCTCCTCTGCTCCTCTGCTCCTCTCTCCTCTTCTCCTCTGCTCCTCTGCTCCTCTCCTCCTCTGCTCCTCTCCTCCTCTCCTCCTCTGCTCCTCTGCTCCTCTGCTCCTCTGCCTCCTCTGCTCCTCTCCTCCTCTCCTCCTCTCCTCCTCTGCTCCTCTGCTCCTCTGCTCCTCTCCTCCTCTGCTCCTCTCCTCCTCTGCTCCTCTCCTCCTCTGCTCTCTGCTCCTCTCTCCTCTGCTCTCTCCTCCTCTCTCCTCTGCTCTCTCCTCCTCTCTCCTCTGCTCTCTCCTCTGCTCTCTCCTCCTCTCTCCTCTGCTCTCTCCTCTGCTCTCTCCTCCTCTCTCCTCTGCTCCTCTGCTCCTCTGCTCCTTTACTCCTCTCCTCCTCTGCTCCTCTGCTCCTCTGCTCCTCTCCTCCTCTCCTCCTCTGCTCCTCTGCTACTCTGCTCCTCTCCTCCTCTGCTCCTTTACTCCTCTGCTCCTCTGCTCCTCTCCTCCTCTGCTCCTCTGCTCCTCTCCTCCTCTGCTCCTCTGCTCCTCTCCTCCTCTGCTCCTCTCCTCCTCTGCTCCTCTGCTCCTCTCCTCCTCTGCTCCTCTGCTCCTCTGCTCCTCTCCTCCTCTGCTCCTCTCCTCCTCTCCTCCTCTGCTCCTTTACTCCTCTGCTCCTCTGCTCCTCTCCTCCTCTGCTCCTCTGCTCCTCTGCTCCTCTCCTCCTCTGCTCCTCTCCTCCTCTCCTCCTCTGCTCCTCTCCTCCTCTCCTCCTCTGCTCCTCTGCTCCTCTGCTCCTCTCCTCCTCTGCTCCTCTCCTCCTCTGCTCCTCTGCTCCTCTGCTCCTCTCCTCCTCTCCTCCTCTGCTCCTCTCCTCCTCTGCTCCTCTGCTCCTCTGCTCCTCTGCTCCTCTGCTCCTCTCCTCCTCTGCTCCTCTGCTCCTCTCCTCCTCTGCTCCTCTGCTCCTCTGCTCCTCTGCTCCTCTCCTCCTCTCCTCCTCTGCTCCTTTACTCCTCTCCTCCTTTGCTCCTTTGCTCTGCAGAAGTTTTAAAATGTCCACCATCTCCATGAGACGCATGACGTCCCCTGCTGTCTGCTTCCCTTTAGGTGACCCTGGCGGTTTATTGCGGCTCTGCTGTTTCCAGCAATCACCCGAAATAGAGGAGAGCTGCGCTGATTGGTCGGAGAGCCTCGAACGATCCGCTCGAAGTTCGCGCAGAGGAAGGAAGGAGGTGAATAAACCGCGGAGTGTTTTTAACTGACGGTCTGTCTTTGCTCTGCGGACCTGATTGAAGCAGCAGAAATCTGCACTTTGTAAGTTTTCATTTATTCTTCTTAATCTAATCAGTTATTTAAAATGTAACATGCATGTTGAAAATTTCAATAAACTTATAAAAAGGTTTTCCTCATTTGGTTCCTCAGATTAAATTATTTCTCTTTTAACTTTATTGAGGAAAACTCTGAAAGTGACTCAAACATGTTTTTTCTGCACCAGTTTCTAAACTCCTCTGTCGGTAATTGGTTAATTAATATCTGAAGATTTGGTGAAGGCATCATCATCATCAGCAGCAGCAGCAGGATGGGAGGAGGAGGGCAGAAGGAGGAGGCAGGAGAGCCAGGCAGCGGGAAGGCTGCAGGTGTTTACACCTGGGAGGAGGTGCAGAAGCACCGCAGCAGGAGAGACCAGTGGCTGGTGGTTAACAGGAAGGTTTATAACATCAGCCAGTGGGCCAGAAGGCATCCAGGAGGCTCTCATGTCATCGGCCACTATGCAGGAGAGGATGCTACGGTAAATATGACGCAGCTTTTATCTTCTGCAATGTTTTTGTTTTTTACAGACTAGAAAATAAAAATGAAGCAAACTTTTACAAATTAAACTTTTGGTTCTAATGATGTGGAGCAAATATCTGGGATTACATCAGAGCCAGGCTGCAGGAGGTTTCTAATATCACTAGAATAAAGTCATCTTTCAACAACCTGTTTCAGATAAAACTTCACATGATGCTCCACATTCCTCATGTTAGGGAAGAAAGGGATTCTTGTCATAAAATAGAACTTAATTCTGATAATGTTACGACTTGTTTCTCGAAATAGAAGAAAAAGAAAAATCTCCAGCCTGGCCCTAATAGTTCATGGTACAGAATAAATGGAGTCATAGTAAAATGATAATTAAAGAGGATAACACATTAAGGTGGTTGTAAGAAATGAATATTCCCAAAAAGTGCAAAAATAATCCACAGGATTTGTTTCCGAGTTCAAAGACGCTTCGCTTCCCATCCAGGAAGTTTTGGACAATGAAATAAACAGTTAATTTACAATTGATATGATTATAAAATCACTCAGTAATAAAATAGGCCATTGATAAAAAAAAAATTCACATTAATTCACATTGGAACGTCTGGATTGAGCCATGAAAATGTCTTTGTCTGTCGTTTTCATTTAGAATTGGACTCTTTAGCTTCCAGGTTCTTTTAAAGTGGATCTTTAGGTCTGTTGCTGTTTAACAGCTAAAACCTCACTGGAGACTCGAGGTATAAAGATATAAGCCACTAAAATGGAAACACGTACGTGAAAGTTAAATTATGCATTTAATTTTTATTAATAAGTAAAATATTCAATAGAATATTATAAAGATACAAAAAGACATTTTCTGTCTAAGAATCCTTCAGGTTTAGTATTTTATAGTTATAGAGTTTTGGTTGAATAGTTTGACATCAATAAACTTATGAAAGAGACATTAAAGTTTAAATTTAAAGATATTTTTAAACCTTTTTTAAATCCTCACCTTGTCAGTCTGACCTCATGTGTAGGTCAACATTTTTCTCTCATAGAAAACTCATGACACAATGTCCAAATGTTATTTGAAATTAAAGTTGATTAAATGTAATTCATTAATTAATAATAGATAAAAAATCTGCATATAAAATCAATATTTTTCCAGCAGAGTTGGTTAAAACTGTCCCTCCTTCAGACACCATCGCAGTTATAGAAGAAATGAGAAGATCTGATGCTGCTTTTTATCAAAGCATTGATCATCTATTTTTTTTCCCCTGGGAGGGGGGGGGGGTAACCTCACGCATCTTTGGCTGATTGTGTTCATTGTTTACTTTGCTTAAAGATGATTTTGCACATTTCCTCAACAGAGACAAGAAATTCATTCGTCTCCATCTTTGAATATCTTGCAGAATGTCAGTGTTTGTCTGAAGGCAGATTTTCCGTTACTCTGTGGATGTTTAAACGTAATATTATTAGAACTGAAAACTTACCAGAATGCGATGAAGTAATCAGCTGGTTTTTATGTTGGTTTAAATATTTATTCATGCAAAGTGCTAAAAAGATGAAGCTAAAAAAGGCCTGATTTGCATAGATATCCCCCAGGAGGAACTCCCCCTCTTTCACTCCCAAAGAGTTTAGCTTTTTTCCTGCACACTAGAGGGCGCTCTCACCTGTTCTACCTCATTGGAAAACTGCAGCTAAATATCATCCAAGTTCTCCTTTCCTGTTTAGGGATGGTCTCTATAAGCAAAGCCTGAATCTCCATAGAAAATATCTCTAAAATAAACCCTTAGAAAATCAGGATTTTGTAGATTTGAACTAAATCCTGGATTTTTCTTTTTATATTTTTATCAGTTAATTAGCTAAGAGCAAATGATGCACCTTCATTAAATAAAAAATGAAGTATTTGTTAAAATGACAGAAAAAAGGAAATCAGTTCTAATTCACTAAGAAGAAAGTCATGAGATAAGATATTTATTTATTTTTTATCTCATATTGGAAAAATTCCCTGTCTGCATTAAACCCCTTGGGGAGCAGTGGGCTGCCATTATGCGGCAGCAGTGTGGGGTTAATCCTTTAAGCCAGGGATGTCAAACTGGTTCCATAAAGGGTCGTTTTGCTGCAGGTTTTCTTTCCAACCAAGCAATAACACACCAGACTCCATCCATCTCATCTAGTCATCAGGTAAAGACTGAACTCACTTGATGAGATGACTGGAGTCTGATGTGCTATTGCTTGTCTGATGTGCTATTGCTTGTCAGATGTGCTATTGCTTGGTTGGGAAGAAACATGCGGCCCTTTCTGGAACATCCCTGGCTTCAGCCCAGAGGGTTTCCACCTGATATTCCATATGTGAATAAAAGCCAGTTCAGCTCCCAAAATGTAAATTGGAAATACAATCGTTCGTATTTGTGTGACAAAAAGGCAGTGAGGAATATTTTTCAGGTGGAACCACTATTTTAAATGTTACCACGTCTGATTTATAGGTGATTAAACGAAGAAAAAAAAAAAAAAAAACTTTTCCAAAATTAAAAACTGTAAAACATCATAAAGCTCTTTAGAAACTCTGGATGAACCTCAGACTTTATAGATCCACATCTTCACTGTAATTTAAGCTAATTTAGACTGAATGAGTTGAAGCATGTTTGTTCCACAGAGGTTTTAGTGGGCAGTGCGCTAGCAGGAAATGGGATTTTAGCACAGTGGTTCCGAAAGTGCAAATATGCATTTTATCCACTAATAAAAGAGAATCTATTCAGACAAATCTGCTGATTTCCATTATTGGAGACTTTCTGCATGAGGCAAAGAAGATTCAGCCGCTGGTTCATTGAAATTTACCAATAAAATCACCAAAGTGGATAGAAAATAAGAATAAGAGAGCAGCTTATGGAAAGCACTCTGCTTACATCACCTGAAATGGTCACACAATGACCTCTGACCCCTCCTTGGAAAGGTCTGAGCCTCTAGTTTCCAATGATGGTGGCCATTAGGGGGCGGGGCTAAAGATGAATACCTGCAGAGTCACACATGTCAGGTGGAATTTTAAATCTCATTTAATTTGTTTACACAGCTATAGAACAAAAAGTATTTGTGAAAAAATAATTTAAAAAAATGTTTTAGAAATTTTAAAGCCCCATTTGAAAGATGTGTGGATGAAACACCATGTGACTGAGTTTGGGCCTTTTCTATACAGGTGCTGGTCATAAAATTAGAATATCATGAAAAAGTAGATTGATTTCAGTAATTCCATTTAAAAAGTGAAACTTGTATATTATATTCATACATTACATACAAACTCATATATTTCAGATGTTTATTTTGTTTAATTTTGATGATTACAAATGACAACAAATGAAAATCTCAAATTTATCATATCAGAAAATTAGAATATTGTGAAAAGGTTCAAAATTGATGGCCCCTGGTGCCACACTCTAATCAGCTAATTAACTCAAACCACCTGCAAAAGCCTTTAAATGGTCTTTCAGTCTAGTTCTATAGGCTACACAATCATGGGGAAGACTGCTGACTTGACAGTTGTCCAAAAGACGACCATCGACACCTTGCACAAGGAGGGCAAGACACAAAAGGTCATCGCTAAAGAGGCTGGCTGTTCACAGAGCTCAGTGTCCAAGCACATTAATAGAGAGGCGAAGGGAAGGAAAAGATGTGGTCGAAAAAAGTGTACAAGCAAGAGAGATAACCGCACCCTGGAGAGGATTGTGAAACAAAACCCCTTCAAAAATGTGGGGGAGATTCACAAAGAGTGGACTGCAGCTGGAGTGAGTGCTTCAAGAACCACCACACACAGACGTATGAAAGACATGGGTTTCTGCTGTCGCATTCCTTGTGTCAAGCCACTCTTGAACCACAGACAGCGTCAGAAGCGTCTTGCCTGGGCTAAAGAGAAACAGGACTGGACTGCTGGTGAGTGGTCCAAAGTCATGTTCTCTGATGAAAGTAAATTTTGCATTTCCTTTGGAAATCAAGGTCCCAGAGTCTGGAGGAAAAGAAGAGAGGCACTTCATCCACGTTGCTTGAAGTCCAGTGTAAAGTTTCCACAGTCAGTGATGGTTTGGGGTGCCATGTCATCTGCTGGTGTTGGTCCATTGTGTTTTCTGAGGTCCAGGGTCAACGCAGCCACATACCAGGAAGTTTTAGAGCACTTCATGCTTCCTGCAGCTGACCAACTTTTTGGAGATGCAGATTTCATTTTCCAACAGGACTTGGCACCTGCACACAGTGCCAAAGCTACCAGTACCTGGTTGAAGGACCATGGTATCCCTGTTCTTAATTGGCCAGCAAACTCTCCTGACCTTAACCCCATAGAAAATCTATGGGGTATTGTGAAGAAGAAGATGCAATACACCAGACCCAACAATTCAGAAGAGCTAAAAGCCACTATTAGAGCAACCTGGGCTATCATAACACCTGAGCAGTGCCACAGACTGATCGACTCCATGCCACGCCGCATTGCTGCAGTAATACAGGCCAAAGGAGGCCCAACTAAATACTGAGTGCTGTACATGCTCATACTTTTCATGTTCATACTTTTCAGTTGGCCAACATTTCTATAAATCCTTTGTTTTTATTGGTCTTCAGTAATATTCTAATTTTCTGATATGATGAATTTGAGATTTTCATTTGTTGTCATTTGTAATCATCAAAATTAAACAAAATAAACATCTGAAATATATGAGTTTGTATGTAATGTATGAATATAATATACAAGTTTCACTTTTTAAATGGAATTACTGAAATCAATCTACTTTTTCATGATATTCTAATTTTATGACCAGCACCTGTAAATAGATAAAAATCTGCTGGTGTCAGCTGGGCCCTGTAGCGGTCTTGCTCAGGGACCCAGAGTGGAAGTCTGTGGGAGGGGCTTGGACCCAGAACCTCTGGATTCCAGGCTCTATGCCCCCCCCTGGCCACCAGGCTCTCCTGCTTGTAATGAGATTTTTCTTCTGTGTTTTCCAGGAAGCTTTCACAGCTTTCCATCCGGATCAAACGTTTGTTCAGAAGTTTCTAGAGCCTCTGCAGATTGGAGAGTTGGCAGAAACAGAGCCGAGCCAGGACGGAAACAAAGATGTGAGAAGAATCTGACCCCCCCATAAATCTGAGATTACTGCCTGAACTTTTGCTTGTTTTAGAGACGCGTACATCATCCAGGAAACCATCGAACCATAAGGCAGAGTTTTCCTTGATTTTACAAACCTGACATATATTTCAGCTTCCTTTTCCTTTGCTTCCAGGCCGCCATCATACAGGATTTTAAAATGCTACGCAGTGAGTTGGAGAAGGAGGGTCTCTTTAGAGCAAAGCCGTTATTCTTCTGCCTCCATCTGGGTCACATCCTGCTGCTGGAGGCGCTGGCCTGGATCATGGTCTCCTACTGGGGGACGAGCTGGACTCTCACCTTACTCTGCGCCGCCATGTTGGCAACTTCTCAAGTAATTTGAACATTATTTATTGAAAATAGTTTGACAGCAATAATAGATGAGCTTAGGAAAGAGGAAATGACTCTTAAACATTTTCTAAGGCGCAGGCTGGATGGCTGCAGCATGACTTTGGGCACCTTTCTGTCTTCAACAAGTCCAAATGGAATCATCTGGTCCATAAGTTTGTCATTGGACATTTAAAGGTAGCCTTTGCAGATTGATTTATTTTTTGGTGCATTGATCTCAGTTTTTAGGAGTTAGATTTTCTTCCAGGGAGCTGCAGCCAGCTGGTGGAATCACCTGCATTTTAATCACCACGCCAAACCTAATGTCCTGAGCAAGGATCCTGATGTCAACATGTCAGGCATCTTTGTTCTGGGATCCGTTCAACCTGTGGAGGCAAGAAGCTGAACGCAGATTTATTTTCACCTCTTAGAGAGTCAGAAAGCCCAACTGCTCAAACTCAGGCGTTCTCCTCTGCTTCCTCCCGCAGTACGGCATCAAGAAGATCAAACACCTGCCCTACAATCACCAGCACCAGTACTTCTTTCTATGTACGTCTGCTAGAAGTCATGGAAGAAGAGAAAAGAGAAAAACTCTTGATTCTTGAAAAATAAAATCCTTTCTCTGTCTCAGTGGGGCCGCCGCTGCTCATCCCAATCATCTTCAACCTGCAAGTATTGCATGTCATGATTTCTCGCCGGAACTGGGTGGTAAGAAGTCACGATTTTTCTTTTCTATTTCTGTAAGGAACTTTTTTTGATGCCTATTCAAAAAATTTTAAATATATTTAAAAAAGATGCTTTGCCATAAAAAAAAATCTTTTTTAATATTTGCACGGTATTCTGAAACTTATGAATGTTTTAAAGACGATGAGCATGATTTAATTTAAAATTGGTTTCCATCCAGGGTCCAAAAAAGTTGAAATCAATCCACAGGACTTTGTTACCAAGTTTGAAGATGTTTCTCTTCCATCCAGGAAGATTTTTCAATTCAAAATGTCAGAAATAGCGTTTAGTTCCAAGTTTAATCCAGCAGTAACCAATTAAAAATCATTGGGGTCGGAATATAGAAAATCATCAACCAGTAAAGGTCTGGAGACATTTTTAATTATAATCCGTTACTTTAAACAGAATTTAATAAAGAAATAAAATGAGGATTTTATGCATCCATGTTATACATTGAATTTTTAAATAAAAAACATTTTTCCATTTTAAAATCTAAAGTGTTTTTAAGTAGAGAACAACAATCGTTCAGTTTGGTTTATAGATAATTTCCTGATTCCCATATTTTCTCAAACCCCTGAACTGACGGTTTGTTATTTTCTTTCTTTTTTCTGTCTTAATGTTGGCAGTGGGCTTTAGGCTGCCCTGCAAGGCTTTAAACCTGGGTTTAACCGGAGACTAAGCCATTCTCAAGCACATATCAAGGAGCTCATTTTGAGCCTGGATCCAGATTTATTGTTGATTCTGTTCATGGTGGAGAATCCTGCTTCACAGCAGCAGGTTGAGCCAAACATCCTCTAAATGTGCAGGGTCATCTTTGAGCACGCCATTTCACTTTTCTTTCACCAGTTCACCGCAGTTCTTCCAGCAGTCCACACTTTCTCTGCTCTCTTTTTCTCATGGTCTTCTCCTTCTTTCCCATCGCCCGGCTTGCCACAGGTTTGCCTGCTGTGTCTAAAAGTAGCAGCAGCAGCAACCCAGACTGACAGCTCATTGGCTCATTTGGATCACGTGCAGCCTGGAGCCGGACGCTCCCCAGGGCTTTACCGTAATAACAGGAGAAGAGGGGCAGGTGAAATTAGACCCTGTCGTCAGACAACGTGCGGTAATTTATAAATGTTTTAAATCAGGTTGGGTCTGGATTAGCCAGCAGGTGGATCCGGACCGCGGTCCACTAATCCATGACCTCTGGTCTATACAGTAGCCTAACAGGTCATTGCAGGCTCTTTGTTAGCCTGCATAGCCCCATACCTGTCTATGTCTCTGACATTAGATAGAGAAACATCTTCAAACTTGGAAACAAAGTTCAATGATTGTTTATTAACCTTTTTTTAATGACTTTGACCTGAGAATGACTGAGAATCTTCACCAGTTACCTTCCTGAAATTTGAAAAGAAATAAACATTTATAAACATAAGGGAAACGATAGCGAACATCCATTTCTTCTATCTCTTCACTGAATGTGAGGAAGTTTAATATTCCTTTGTTCTGCTTGCAGCATCAGTTCAGCGATCCTCAGGGTTTATCTTGTAAAAGATGAGTCTGTGTCTTTTGTTCTATAAAGGATCTGATCTGGTATTTGTCCTTCTACGCCCGATTCTTCTCCTGTTACCTTACGCTTTATGGCTTCTTTGGCTCGGTGGCTGTCATCATGTTTGTTAGGTAAGACTTCAGATTTAACTCATTTAGCTATTTCTTTTTTTCCCTGTTGGTTTGAATAATTTCATTCATACCTGAGTTTCCAAAAGCTGTTCTTTAGAAACAGTCATGACAATAACTATTAGAGAAGCTTTATATCCTGATCATTTCTACCTCTTAGTTACGTGTTTCTTTGTTTTCTTCAAAAGCTTTGGGTTAATTTGGACTTTCTCTTTATTGACTCGACCTTATTGTCCTCTATTTGGTTTAAAGATGTTTTTTAAAGAGGTTTCTTATTTAGTAATGATTGAAAAATGTGCTTGACTCTTATTAATGATTTAATTCTACTATATTTGGAGGATTTTTTATTCCAATTGTTTTAGTTTGTGGCACAGGATCATATTTTATTATTAGATTCATATAAACACGTTTCCATACAGTGTACAGCAAACAGATAATAACTATAAGGCGTTATTACTTCAAAGAAAATAACAAATAAATTCATGGTTTAAGTGGATTAAAACAATAATGAAAACAAACTGCAATTGGAAAAAGGTTTTTTTTTAACCTGATTATTTTGCAGATTCCTGGAGAGTCACTGGTTTGTTTGGGTGACTCAGATGAATCATCTCCCCATGAATATAGATCATGAAAAGCGGCGAGACTGGCTGACGATGCAGGTACCTTTCATTCTTTCATCAAACTAATACTGTTATACTGTCATTAGATGGATTTTCACCATCTGCACTATTGTGATGGAAATCTGCAGCACAGAAAGCAGAACATCCTGTTTGCAAATAGGATAATGGAATATTATACTGGCTCAGTATTATATTCCATTATATTACACTTAATGATTTAAAAATTCATTTATGGATGTTTTTTAATGGAGAAACGCCACAGATTTGCACCACTAACTTCTATCTATTGTACAGTATATCGTTTATATTGGATTAATACAAAGTAGTGGACAGTAGTGAACGAGGGTTTTAAACATGTCATGATAATCAGCCATATCAGTTATTGTCACATGGTCGGCCGTTCGAAATCCCTTAAAGTCTCTTTGACAGGAAAAGTATTACAGCATCACTATGGCAACGTCTCAATTAAATAAAAATACAAGATCTCAGACTTTGAAGGTCATCAGGTGTTCATGATGTTTCCTTGGAGAATGAAATGTGTGACGGTGTAGAACTGAATTAGACCGGCATTTACTCCAACTACAGACGGACGGACGGACGGACGGACGGATAGATAGACAGACTTGTTGGACCATTTTTGTTTCTCCATAAAGTGGAAATTAAACGGTTAACCAAACTAGCTTAGTTCACCAGATTGTGTCTTACTGTCATCAGATGCTTTATTACCAATTCCAAATATTTTGTTACTTTACTTCAGTAGAAATATTGTCTATCTTTACTTTACTGCAGTAATTATTTTACAGACATCTTTCTACCTCCAATCTTAAAATTTTTTGCAATTATCTCCACTTTCTCCTCCTTACATTTTAAAAATAAACTTGTTTTGTTTCATGTAAGCTCAGTTTTATTATGGCCTGTTGGTATAAAAAATAATTAGTTTCATCCAGACAATGAATTTCTCTGTGGTTGGACTCGGTGCTGCCTCAACTTGTTGCTCACCACATGCTAAAATAAATCGTTTTTCAAGATGTTGCAAAGTTAAATGTGACGCTGTTACCATTAGTTGTAAAACTAAGAAAAGGAAGTCTAAGGAATTTATCATCCAGAATGGTAGAAAAATGTTCCTTTAATAGAGCAGAGCAATAAAGCTTCTGGCCTTCATGGTTTTTCATTACTTTTACTTTTATACTTTAAGTAGTTTTAAAAATGTTACTTTTACACTTTTACTGGAGTTAAAAGCTGAAGTTGATCCTTTTTAAACAGCAGGATTTATACTGGAGGAATAAATATTAATACTTTTGACATATCTGACTATCATCAGTAATTATATTGCAAATGTGAAAAATCGAAACGTAAAAGAAAAAAACGAAGCGTTTTTTAATGTATTTAGCGCCACCATGTTGCAGTTCTCCCACTGATGTCTTGAAGGATCTGATGCTTTCGTGTTTCAGTTACAGGCCACATGTAACATCGATCAGTCCTTCTTCAACGACTGGTTCAGCGGACACCTCAACTTTCAAATCGAGCACCAGTGAGTCCGAATCACTCACCAGATCAAACTGGATATTTGTTTGTATTTTTAATAGAAATTCAGAAATATTTTGTAGTTGGATTCTATAGATGAAAGTCTATTTAATGAATGACGTAAAACGTTCATGAAGGTGAGCAGATTGTTGGAATGAAAGGTGCTGAAATGTCAGTTTTCTTGTTTTAACTGATGATGTTTTCAATAATGTTTGATCTATATGATCCTAATTATTCATAGCTGCTCTCATGAAGGCAAAGCTGCTAAACAGAGTTAAAGGGGTGATAGAATGCAGAGTTTCCATTGTCGTAGCTGAATAACGATGGTTCAGTGGGTGAAATAGAGGCACAGAGAAGTTCAAACCCCATCAACTCCTCCTTTCTCTGCAAATCTCACAACTCTAACCTTCCATCATAAAACAGGCGAATCCAAACCAAGCGCAGAGTTGACGTAAACTCGGGGATGTTGCCTTATTTGGTTCTGGCCTGGACTTTTGTGGCGCTGACATTGGCATCCAGACCAGCCAACTGGTTTACTGGGCCAAGAACATGAATAGAGGAAGATGGAAGACAGCAGTTTAGCTGTTTAGCCTAAAGTTGGGTTTACTGCTACAAGAATTACAGAGCAGGAAGTTCCTCTATTGAAAATGAACCACAGGTGGAAATGCAGCGTTCCAGGCTGACCGGAGGAAGGGGAACATTTTCACAATCTTGGCTGGGCCGCTGACTGGACCGTACTGGACACTCGAACCCGAGCCGTCAGCTCCAGGGCTGGTCCGGAGCCAACAGGGGACGGAGCGACCGAATCCGACCTGGAGGCGGTATGCTTCCCCCCCACCCGCCATACCATGGGGAAGCATGGTAAGGCAGGTGGGGGGGAAGCATACCGTCACCGGATCGGGTTCGGTCGCTCCGTCCCCCCATTGGCTCTGGAGCTGACGGCTCGCTTCGAGAACACGGTGTGTTTCGACTCCGTGCTGCGCTCTAGTCGACCAAAATCCCCGGTTTTTAAATTCCGCTCGGACATTTTTTTAGGTCTGAAAAGTAGGACATGTCCTGGAAAAAGAGGACGTCTGGTCCCCCTACCATATCAACAATCTGATGTTTCAGTGAGTGAGTGCTTGTTGCTATGATGCTCATTCATTCTATTACCCCTTTAAAGATGAAGGGCTGTTTGCCACATTCATCTCAGCTTTTAATCCTAGCAGATGAGACCAGATGTTTGCAAAGGGTTTGGTTGGATGAGAGTCTTTCAAGGAGAAAAGGAAATATTTCGTTACATCTTTTTCATCTGAGGTTGGTTGATTTTATTTCAGACTCTTTTTTTGTCTTTAAGTTTGTTTCCAACAATGCCGAGGCACAACTACCACCTGGCGGCCCAGAGAGTCCGCGCTCTGTGTGACAAACACGGGATCCCCTACCAGAAGAAAAGTTTGTGGCGAGGAATGACTGATATTGTCAGGTAATACACTCACCACAGGAGAATCAGTCAAAGCTAAAAATAATGCATGAGCAGAAGAGTGCTGTCAGAAGCAATCAGTCTTTGTCTATCTGTCCACCAGCCTGGATACAAACTGATGCTTTCCCATTTTTATACTTTTTTCAGCTCACTGAAGACGTCCGGCGATCTCTGGCTTGATGCTTATCTTCATAAATGATGAGGTGTTTTTAAATGGAAAAGTCTTCCTTTAGATTAAATTCCTGCCATGTTTTAAAGTAAACAACAGCAACAAGCATCAGACTAATTTTCCTTTCTGTAGACAGTGTAGTTGATGGACTGAGAACATCCTTAAAGCTTTTGGGATTTTCAATTCTCCTTACTGACACATGTTTTATTTAAAATAAGTATTTGTTAATTTGTTAATTTTCTACTATATTCCGATTATTCCTGTTAATTTCTCTGACATAAAAAAGTCAAATGTAATAAAATCTCACAATGATCATTTTGTTTTTTGTTTTTCTCCAATCTCTCCCCGTATTACAGAATAAAAGCATTTTTGACTAAAACCGACAAACATTTAGTGATATTATAAAAGTAAGATATAGTAATAAAATCATAATGCTAATTTTTGCCTTTTGGTGTCTTAAAGAATTTGCTGAGTTTCTTATGAAGATTAAGCAAAAATGAAATCTGTAAGACGCTTTATGAGCCTCATCATCTGAACCACCTGCTGAGGAGCTTCAGCCAATCGATGATGGACCAAACTGCCAGCACTGAGATCTGAAGCCAGCTGTCACTGTAGACCCTCTTCATTAAGACGAAGGCCCAGCTCCTCTTCAGCGCATCAGTCGAACCTTCAGCCACCTCTGCCCGTCTCCTCCATCTCTCTTAAGCCTCTTTCCCACTGAAATCAGTGGATCGACCCGCTAACAACCGGCATTTGGCTCCCTTACGATTGGCAGAGCAAGCTGATCTCACCCCTCGCTGCCAAGGTGCATGGCCTCTGCCCCCCCACAGCAGCAAAGTCCAACTCATATATTAGCCCCATTTCCACCCCCTTCTTAAAACCGATCCGTGCCGAGTTCAGACCGAGCTTGGATCAGTTAACCGCACCGAGCTCGGTTTCATACGGCCGTTTACACACCATGTTAGCACGGTTCCTCGCCTCCTAGTGATGATCTACGGTACTACTGCTCTCTAGAATTGAAGGAGGGAATCACACAAATCAAAATGGCGGCGCCCGTAACATTCAGGAAGTTATGTTTGGTAATAATTTTGCTGTTTATGGAGAGTCAGGCGAAGAAGGCAGCCTTTGGTGGATTTACTTGACAGAGTCGGCTTTTGGGAAGTGAAAACGACAAACAATCGTCTAATCAGGGCTTCAAGACGCAGGAAACAACGACGGACATTGAGGTTCATCACACTGCTAAGCTGGAAATCATGTGGCTCGGTAGGGAAGCTAGGATTTTTAGGAATTTCCTGATTACGGAGGCTGACTGTAAGGGGATGGCACGGTCTGCTCATGAGAACCATGCCAGAACTGAACCGCGGCGAGCCCTACTGATGAACTAGTACCATGTTAGCGCAGTTCGGTTGGGTCTGGCACCGTCCGATTCAGTTTGGGTGTCATTTATACTCAACAGTTATCCGGGTTACCGTGATCCGACCGATCTCAGCTCGGTTTCTAAAGGGTAGTACTAGAAATGAAGCATTCCTAAAGAGTTAAAAATCAATCCACTGGACTTTGTTTCCAAGTCTGAAGATGTTTCTCTTCCAGGAAGCTTTTCAATTCAAAATGTCAGAAATATTGTTGAGTTCCAGGTTTTATCCAGCAGCCCAAACTTGTTTGTCTTCAAACCTGGAAACAAAGTCCAGTGGATTGTTTTTTTAAACTCATGGAATGACTTTGTCCCGGATGACTGAGAATCTTTACCAGTAAATGGGGCAATATTTTAGTTCAGTCCAGCCAGGTACACATCAGGGAAGCTCCCCTCCTCCACCCTCTTCAAGCATCTGAAAGTTCCTGAAACTCAAGGAGGAATTTTGTCTCTTTTGCAGCAAGTTGGTTTTGGGTGTCAACCAGTAGATCTACTGAGCCTTGGTCAGTCTGGAGATCTGGCCCCTGGTCAAATGCCCTGATGGTGGCTTACAGTTTCAGGGCTTCCTTTCCAATTTTAACCTACCAGAGCCTCATGGAAAAGAGGAAGAAAAGGGTAGAGAAGGTGGGGGGGGGGCAAAGGCATACCTCTAGGAGTGTCTTGTGATTCTGCCTTAGGCTGGGGAAGGATTGCAGAAGCTTGAGTGCAGAACGGCAGGAAAACCTTCAACCTCCTGACTCGAGCCGGGCGAACACGGTGCAATATTAGCAATCGTTGCACGCAGCTACAGCTCACACTGTACGACGAAACTGCAGGGTTTTAAAGTTCACTGTTCACCATGTTTGTTCTCACGCTGTGCGACCCGACGCTCTGATGCGACCTCAGGATGGCTGACTGAATTTCAAACATGGTTGGTTTTCTCCCGACCTTCCTATTCCTGATCAGGATATGGTCGCTAGAGGCTGATTGCCCCTCCTTACGCCCTGTCCATTAAACGATGTATGATCAGTCTGACTGGTTGGACTGGTGAATCTGCCAAAAAAGGGCAAAAAACACCTTACAGTTTATGCCGGTATGGAAGCTCATTGGTAGAATTCCCTTATGACAGAAAGAAGGCCACGATTCACAGCATTTTATCGTCCGGAGGGGGGACACATTTAATTACAAAACCTAATTCATAAAAACTCATTCATTTGTTGCGAAGTAAGTATAGGGCCACGTGTGAGGATATATTCTGATTTCTGATTCTGATCTGATATAAGACAATAAAACTTCTTCTACATATCCCCCCCTGTAGTTCATTGCAGATGAAATACTTTGTGATGTTACATGGTGATGTGAATACTACGCGACTAATTGCACTTTAATGCTTATGTTTAATGTAAAGAATGGACGAATTATTCCAGGTGGGGTTAATAAAGTGGTCTAAGTTTAAGGACTATGGTTACCAGAGTCCAAAATTATTATCATGGTTTATGACACTTGAAGCTAAACCATTTTATAGTCTAGCTCATTTCTCTGTATCCTTGCGCAACATTGTTTGATTTAATATGGAGGTAGTTACTATAAGGATCTATATTTATGGATCTAAATGAGGAAATCATTGTTAACCTTTTATGGAACATATAGTAACTATAAACACGTTAAGTAATATTATGTGATTGAATAAGGCTGGATTGGAACCAGTCAGGAGAAGATGAGGTTCAGGCAGGCAGGTGGAGCTCCAATGGAAGCTGCTGTGACATTAAGTCCAACAATAAGTGTTCATGTAACTCCAGTCCATCCAGACGCTCCTCCTTTCACAGGAACACCTCCCTGCTCAACTATCTTCACTGCAAGGGGTGAAAACCGTGAAGAAGGCACAGGAAGCAGTGATACAAATGAGTTGAAGCGACAATAAATCAAGCTGTTAAAGACTAGATTAAAAAGTTACTTGGTCTTTATGCGTAATGTAAATTATAATCATAGCTGCTTTAAATAAACATCTCATTCATCTTTGTGGCTGTAAGAGCCAGGTTATTCAAATATATGACGAATTTGGACATTTCTAAGATAGGTTAGACACAACTTATACATATATGTCAAAGAAAAACATAAAAAATAGAAAGCTTGCTCCTCGGTTTATTGCAGAGCTGCACACTTTGAAGCAAAATGCTATGAAACTGGAGAGAAATCGTTCTCCACAGGCCTACAAAAATCATACCTAGACTGGAAAAATAGTTTACTGCTGCAAAAGAGGATCCTTTGTTCAGCAACAGCAGCATATTGTACCGTCCTGTTGGATCTTAGTGCTGCATTTGATCCAGTTGACCATAACATTCTTTTAGAAAGACTTGAATATTTTGTTGGAATTAAAGGAACAGCTCTAGACTGGTTTAAATCTGATCTATCTGATCGATTTCAGTTTGTTCATGTTAATGATAAATCTTCAACATGCTCAAAGGTTACCTGTGGAGTACCACAGGGATCAGTGCTAGGACCAATTCTCTTTACTTTATACATGCTCCCAATCGGTAGAGTTATTAGACAGCATGGGATTAATTTCCACTGTTATGCTGATGATACCCAGCTATATCTGTAGCTGATCAGCCTTCGGCTGATCCAAAATGCTGCAGCCAGAGTTCTGATGAAAAATAAAAAGAGAGATCATATCTCTGCTATCCTAGCTTCTCGTCATTGGCTTCCTGTTAAAAAAAGACATAGAAAGTTCAGTTTATGCCAGCGTTTTAGAAGATTCTGGGAGGTCAGGGATACGCTGGCTAAATCGTTATGGTGTGACAGAGGCTTTCGATAGAAAACTTTGACTGAATCTGACTGGATGATCTGGTGAGCTATTAAGTCCCTTGAGATGATATGATGTGAATTAGCGCAAAAGAAATAAACCGTCATGATGTTACAAAGTTCTGACCCAAATGCAGAAAACTGAACAGAGAGACCAGGGCAAAGGTTTAGAGGGTTTTACTGAAGAGGTAAAACAGAAGGAGAAGTGTTGCTCTGAACACAGCTCAACCGGAAGTTTCCAGGGAAGTCGTTGAATCCTTGACTCCTGTCTGTGTGCCGTGGTTCCAGTGTTTGTCTGATTCGGTGGAGGGCGGAACAGAGTTTACCCAGAATGCCGTTGTTAGTTGGTGAACGGAAAAACTGACTGGCACTTAGATTTCCTGCGGTACTTGAACGGGTCCTAGTGGAGAATAATCCCTTTCTCAGTGTGAAGCTCAAACGATCTCTTGGGGAAAGTGGATCCAAACCTCCTGTTTGAATCTCAGCTCAGTTTGAAGCTCAGTTGATCCTTCCAGGGAGAGAAGGTCCGAAAAATCCAGTTTGCAGGATGACTTCCTGCCGAGAGGCAAAGACAAAAACAATGTTAAAACTCAGGTTGACAAAAACTCAGCTTGGCTAGAGAACCCTAAACTGGCAATCACTCTGGCGTGGAGGTAGTGGCAGTCAGCAGCTTAGGAACACTTCGTTTAACGAGGAAACTATCAGCAGGTGTGTGAGGAGGCGGACCAGAACCAGGCGCCTCCTGGTGGATGAAGGGAGACAAACACAGAAACACACTGTAATGTTAAGGCTATCAGGAGTCCTGATAGCCTTAACATTACAGGAAATCTGTAAGCACTTTATAAAAGTTTACTTGGTTTTAGTCTGACTTTAGCAATCTGGGTTGATGTGATCTTCTTATTGATCATTAATGTGTAATTTAATTGAATTCAATTTTAATCAATTCAGATTATTTACAGTATATAGCACCAATTGGCAACACATGTCATCTCAAGGCCCTTTATAGAGATGATTCAACCAGATCACCCAGTCAGACGGGTTCAGGGTTTTCTGGCTGCATGGCTGAGCAGGTTGTAGACTCTGGATTTGATTGTTTTTGCATGGAATTTGCATGTCAAAGCAT